CCACGCTTTGCTCGGCGGGATCCGGCTGGCAGCCTCCGCACGGTGCTGGCCGACCCGGCCCTAGCCCAGCGGCTGCCCGGTGCATTTCCAAGTTCGGTTGCCTAAGGTGGATGGGATGGGATGTGCCTTTTCTTTCTCACTCTCTCTTTTTTCTTCTTGCCTGTTTCATTTTCTTCTTTGATTTGAAAAAAGAGAAAAGAACTCCGCAGAGCAGGCCAGGGACAGCTGAGTTCCAACTGCCCCCACGTGGACGCTCTCTAGGGGAAAAGAAGTTGGAAGGAAACTTGGTCCTGCTGGTCCGGAGGCCTCAACTTGGACTGGACTCGAAGCTCTAGAGTCATGACCCTCACATCGGACAGGTGGAAGTCTTTACCTGTCCTGGGCTGGACTTGAGCTCCGGCCCTTAACCAGCACTCTCTCAGAACCCCCATCGCCACCACACTCACACCTGGCATTTAGGCTACGCCTGGACACTGGTCAGCAACATGGATAAGTATGACGATCTGGGCCTGGAGGCCAGTAAATTCATCGAGGACCTGAACATGTATGAAGCCTCCAAGGATGGGCTTTTCCGCGTGGACAAAGGTGCAAGCAACAACCCTGAGTTTGAGGAGACACGCAGGGTGTTTGCTACCAAGATGGCCAAAATCCACCTTCAGCAGCAGCAGCAGCTCCTTCAGGAAGAGACCCTTCCCAGGGGGAGCAGAGGCCCTGTCAATGGTGGGGGCAGGCTGGGCCCACAGGCCCCCAGGGAAGCTGGTGTGGGCAGCAAGCTGACTGTGGATGGTGCTGCCAAGCCCCCTCTTGCTGCCTCCACAGTGGCGCCTGGGGTAACCACCACCACTTCCACTGGGCAGCCCATATACCCACCCCAGGAGCAGAGGGCCAGGCCACATATCCATGGCATAAGGCCTGGTAGCCAGGACTGTGGTTCCAGGGAGGGTCCACTGAGTTCCGAGAGGTCTGCTTTCCACCGTCCCTGCGAGGATCCTTCCTGCCTCACTCATGGAGACTATTATGATAACCTCTCTGTGGCAAGCCCACCGTGGGAGGACAAACCAGGAGTGTCCTCCAGCATCGGCCTGGATGTAGGGAGAATGTGGCCTGATTCCTCAGGGAGTGACTCCTCATTGCCCAGAACCTGTGGGGACCATCACCTGTACCAGCCACAGCTCTCCCTGAGCTCCAGCAAGTCTTTTGAGAGTGGTCTTGGTGTCCAGGATGGTGGTGTCGGTGGCTGTAGTAGTGAGAAGCCAGCAGGACTTTGGTCTACTGCCTCCTCCCAGAGGGTGAGCCCTGGCCTTCCTTCCCCAAGCTTGGAGAATGGGGCTCCAGTTCAGCCCAGGAACCCTTCTATTTCAGCATCCCTGGCCTCCAACTGTCCCACTCAAGGAACTCTTTCAAGGACAAACTTAGGGCTGGGTTGTGAGATTCCAGTTTTGTCCAAACCCACTGTGGACCCTCAACCCTGGTTTCAGGATGGACCCAAATCTTATCTTTCAAATTCTGCCCCATTATCAGCAGCTGGCAAGGACAGTTCACAGCTAGGTAAGGTCCCTGGGTTGGGACCGAAGTTGGGATGTGCAGACCTTGGCACTGGGCCCAAGCCCAGTACCACCAATCTTGTCCATCCAGTGATGTCCACTCCGCCTGAGTTATCTTGTAAAGAGGGTCCTCCCAGCTGGTCTCCTGACAGTAGCCTAGGACCTGTGCTCCCAGAGAGCCCCAACTCATCCAGGGTGAGGCTGCCCTGCCAAACTCTCATCCCAGGCCCTGAACTTGGACCCTCTGCTGCAGAATTGAAATTAGAAGCCCTCACCCAGCGTCTGGAGCGAGAGATGGATGCTCACCCAAAGGCTGATTACTTTGGTGAGTGAGAACCTGCTGGAGCTGCCCATGGTCGGGTGATGGGTCTCTCCCAGGGATGCTGTAGCTGTCTTAAGACGTCTGTGTTTTTAATTTTTTTTTTTTTACTTCCTCTTTAAACTGCTTGTCTAGTTCAGAAACTTGAAAGCATCCTTGGGCAGAAGTAGATCTTGCAGCTGGGAGTTACTCATGTGTGAAGGGTAAAGCAGGGTGGGACTATCTTAAAAAAAGAACAGAAATGCTGTGACTTTGGATTTCAAGGGTTTTGGGGTGTGACCTTAGAGACTTTTACAGTGACAGGCTTGTAAGATGGGAGTAGCTTCTCAGGGACAGACACTTCTGAGCAGTTGGTCTGTAGCTCTCAACCGCTGTGTGTGTGGGTGTGTCTTGTGGTTCCCGTGTATAACTGAAGCAGGTGAATCACTGCTATTGAAGGCTGTTCTAGGACAGTGGATCTCTTTTCTTCTTTTCTTGCAGTTCTGGGGATTGGACCCAGGGGCACTTTGCCATTGAGCTACACCTCCAGCTCTTTTTAAATTTTTATTTTGAGACAGGGTCTCACGACGTTGCTGAGGCTGGCTTCAAACTTACGATCCTCCTGCCTCAGCCTCCTGAGTAGCCAGGATTATAGATTTGCGCTACTGCACCTAGCTAAGGCAGTGATTCTTGAAGTGTATTCCCTGGACCAGCCACACCCTGGTTAGAAATGGAAGCTCTGAGCTCTACCTCCAGACCTACTAAATCAAAAATTCTGAGATAGAATGTAGCAAGGAGCGTGGACTCCACCAGCCAGGTGATCCTGATATGAAGGGAGATTTGAGCCTTGCTGGACTAGGAGCCTCTTAACTCAGCCCACACCCAGTAACAGCCAGCAGCCAGGTGGCACCCACAGCTGTGTCTTGAAGTAGGAAGGGAGATGCTCCTTGCTGGTTTTACATAAATGTGCAGATTTTGTTTTATTCTTTTTTTTAAGCCACAAAATCTGGATGACTACTGGATTCAACTTTTTTTCCCCTCTGCACAGGTTTTGGAGGGGATAAGAAGGTGGCTATATCCTGCTGATGAGTGATGATTTGCTTATTTCACAGAACTATCTAGAAAGACAGCCTATTCTGTCCGAGACCTGTTATTTTCCACTTTTGAACTCTGGATAATTGGGCTCTGATTCTCCCATAGCCTCAGTCCTACAGCTCTGTGGAGGGAAGGGACAGGGAAGGCCCTGGGTGGGGAAGATGGCTGGCTTACTGCTCCTAACCTATGCTTGCTGTCTCCCCTGAAGTCCTTGGAGAGGGTGCTAAGTGGAGGGCCAGTGGATAGCTCTGCAACCTATGGTAGTGTTTTTGCCCCTCATGAGAACTTCTGGGAGCTAGCTTTCCCCCTGCACTCAGCAGTTGGAGGTCAAGGTTACTGTTTGTTGATTTATTTTTTAAAGCATGTAGCACGTTCTACTGTGAACTGTCCTTTCCTTGCAGAGTCTGACCTTGCGGATAATATTTAGTTGGAGATGTCATGGGTCTTTTATTTTTAAAAAACTTTTAATTAAAAATATTTTTTTTTTCCTTTTCTCCATGAAACTGGGGATTGAGCCCAGGAGCTTTCTGCCTCTGAGCTTTTAAAGTTTCATCTTGAGACAAGGCTCTTGCTCTGTTATCCAAGCTGGCCTCAAACTTGGGATCCTCCTGCCTCTGCCTTCTGAGTAGTGGGGATTAGCTAGAATTATGTGCGTGTACCACTGTGCCTGGTTCCATGGGTCTCTTAATTTTGATTTTAATTTGTTTAGTTTTTAATTTCAAGCTAATAACAAAAAACCAGTTTTATTTATTCAGGGATGCAAGTTTGCGCTCTGGGTCAGGGCAGTGATTAGTAACCAACACTATTAATTCATTCAGTATCTATACTCTGAGCCTGTATCCTGAGCCAGCTGTATTCTAGGTGTTGGGGATACAAAAGGAACAATACTGACAGAAACCTCTTCCTCCCTGGACAGACAGTGCAGCAGAACAGGCAGGAAATGAGCAAAGCAAATGAGCAAGAGAGAAATGGGATTTTCACCTTGAAGTGAAAATGTACATCTTTCTCTCTGCCTGACCACTGTTAATGCTGCTTGGAAGATGTTGGGTTCCTATTCAGCTGGCTCTTGGGAGGTGCTACCTGCAGGTGCAGGTGGCTTCTGTTTGCACAGCTGTTCTTGCTGCAGAGGGATGCCGGGTGGGCATGTGTTTTGTTATGCCCCTTCCTGCTCTTCTGGTTTTGGGTCCTCTCCTCATTTACTAAGGAAAAAGGACACAAATAACCACCTGCTGGGCTGGATTTCTGGGGAAACTGATTCTTAGAGTTTAGTTGTGCAGGGGGCTTATTCACAGGTGCTATTGGGGTTCCCACCTGTGGATGGGAGGGGAAGGAAGCTGCAGGGAAGAGCTTAGCTACAGTGACCCCTCCAGGAGCTGGGGGTTGGAAGAACCCTTCAGTCCCATCCTGAGTTGGGCTGAGATGACCTGGCCTTCACACTCTCCATGCTCAGCCATTGGATGTGGGCCACCCTGGGGAGATGGTGACTGTGGGCAAAGTAGCTCTGTGTAGCTAGGACAGTCCTTGCAGGGGACTGCCAGCGGCATAGCAGTAGCTGGACCACTCTGCTCTTTCAATGAAGCGTCCTCCACATTCCCTGCTCTTGGGGCAGGTGACCATGGGTACTGTGGGTCTCATAATTGCTACTATCTGTTGAGTGCCTATGATATGCCAGGCATTGGGTTAAAGCTTAGGGGGTATTATTGTCATTTAACCTTCACACAGGTATGACACAGGCTCCATTGCTCTTTGTTTATAACTGAGTCCAGAGAGGTTAAGTGACATGCTCAAGACCACACATGTGTGGGTGAGGCACTTCTACCCTCCTTGGGGCTTTTCCTTCCACTCTGGTGACTCACTTAGTGGAACTAGGTGGTCATGCGTGTCAAGTTGGGTGCCTTGTCTTTGCCTCTCCAGATGCCTCCAAGTGCACCGGGGGCATCTGTGTACTCCCTGCCCTTCCCAGACCTCCGTCCCCTACAGTCAGGACTCCAGACTGATGTGTCTTTTGGACCCGCAGCCCCGTGCTCTTCCTCCCTGTTGTGGGTAGGCCTGAGGATCGTTCAGTGCAGAAGCCACTCCAGGATAGAGCCACACACTGCCCAGTGGGGAGAAGGCTCTGCCACCTCTGTTAGGCACCAGAGGGTCAGAAAGGCAGGAATACCGAGGTTTCAGGGTTTCCTTTCTTCTAAAAGTGGATGGATGGCCTTCTCTCCACCCATAAGGAGAGGGAAGAGACTGGTTTTGTTTTTAGTTTATATTTTTTTGTGGTGCTGGGGATCAAACGCAGGGCCTTATGTATGCTAGGTACAACATTCTACCAGCCAGCTACATCCCCAGTCCCAGTTAAAACAATAATAATAATAATAATAATAATAATAATAATAATAATAATAATAATAATAATTAATTAGTACTAGGGATTGAACCCAGGGATGCTTTACCACTCAGCTATATTCCAGCCCTTTTTATTTTGTAAGACAGGGTCTCCCTAAGTTGCTGAGGGTCTTGCTAAGTTGTTGAGGCTGACCTTTAATTTGTGATCCTCCTGCCTGAGCTTCCTGAGCGTATGGAATGACAGGCGTGTGCCACCACGCTTGGCTCTCTTTAGTTTTTCTGATGTTGGTGGACATGCCTGCTGCAATATTTAAACCCAGAAAGGCAGAGCCCACCCTCAGCCTAGGTGCCTGGAAACAGTTGTGATTTCTCCTGGGAATGGCTGTGCCCTTGCCAGGGCCCCAGGGAGCCTGTCCTGCCTGATGTCACTTTACTGGTCATGCAGGTGAAATGAGCTGTCCAGACAAGGAGCACCAGGAGGTCATCCCATCTGCCCCTTCTCATCTGAGTCTCCTGTCTCAGTGACCTTTTAAGCACCTCTTATCTGACTTTATTAGTGATAGATGTGTGACAAAAGGGGCCGAATTCTAGCCTATGGAAATGGGGAGCATTTTTCATAAAAAAGGAAATAACACGGGCCAATCCTGTTATAGAGCAGCATCTCCAGAATTCCAGGACAGGGGTCTGTCAGCGCATCCCAGAGAACCCATCTACTCCCAGCCCCCCCAGTACCAGACATTGCATTAAATCCAAGGCAAGTACTAAAGTAGCAGGTGGTAGGAGCTCATCAGCTACTCTGAGTGTGCTTTCCTAGGAACTGGCAATGCCTTTGGAGATTTTCTGCCATGCTTTGGAGTCTAGGCTTCCACTGGACATGAAAGTTAATTTCTGATCCTCTGGGTAATTTTTGTAAATGACATCCAGGATTCCAGTTCTGCCTGTCTACCCCTGCGGGTGTACACCCTGGGCTATGGGGATGCCCAGACCTTGAAAAATTGCTCATGTGTTTTTATTTATTTTTTTAAGTGGATTAGGCAGTCTGCCCCTCAAGGTTAGGAAGGCAATGACTTTTTATCGATGCATATAGTGTAGGCATGCAGTAGGTGCTCACAAAGTGAACACCAGCACCCAGATCAAGACAGAACAGGACCATCACTCAGGAAGCCCCTGGGGCGTTCACTGTCACTGCCACCCTCTAAGGATCACTGCAGCCCTGACTTCTCACAATAAAAATGAGTTTTCGAGCAAGCGTGGGGTTTGAAGTAACGTATCATGGCGTGTCTGAGGATGAGTGGAGATGGTAAGGTTGGGACACCATGTTGGCCCACACTTTAGCTCTGTCCCTGTGTGCCAGCTCTCTCTCTAGCATCTCTCTTCAGAGTTTCTGGGGGCAGGGAAGAGGGGAGATGGAAATGATGCAGCCCCTCCCAGACTTTATCTGGAGAGCTGCATCTCTTTATTCAATCCACAGACACACAAGGGGCATGGGTGGTGTCCCCGTCACGCCCTTCTTGCTGGTCTGGGTGTGTGTGGAAGGGTACACGGGGAATCACAGGCACTGGGATTCAGTCCACATCTCTCTCACGTGGGCTCCCAGG